CGTCGACTTAGTTATACTCTTAACTCGTTAGTTTTAGTCGTACTCTAATTCGTCGACTTAGTTATACGCTTAACTCGTTAGTTTTAGTCGTACTCTAATTCGTCGACTTAGTTATACGCTTAACTCGTTCACTTATTGACCAACATTTTTTCAAAGCCGGCGTCTCGTCTTGGATTTAAAACAAAAATATTTAAATATGAAAACGTATTCCTATAATTAAAGATACCAAACTTGAATTCACGTATTTTGGATTTTAGGTGGTAGAGAAAAGCTGTCAATAAAGAATGATGGAAAATAATTAGGAAATATCGTAAAATGCTTTTCGGATATCACCTTTGTTATGTGGGCCGGGCGTGGCCTAGTAACTTAGCTTGCCCGAACTCTAAATTAAGTGTTCATGGCTCGCGTGCCATTGGTCTGCACTTTTGGGTCGTAGGTGCTCTATAAGAGTTGCGGTCAAGTCTATTCGGTCATGCAAGAATAACTCAAGAGTTGGCGGAGAGTTCTATTGACTAGTTGCCTTCCCACTAATCCATCAGTTCAATATTAGGGACGACTCTGCGCATATAGCCGTTGTGTAGCTTTGCGCAAATTAAACAAACCTTGTTTTATCATCATACAGCTACGATAATACAGGGTTCGTATATGATACAAGGATAAAGCGTTTAGCATCCCAGCTGTTGTCACGTAGATTTGAAGATGTAGGCGTATGACGTCACAGCTGTTGTCACGTAGATTTGAAGATGTAGGCGTATGACGTCACAGCTGTTGTCACAGATTTGAAGATATAGGTGTATGACGTCACAGCTGTTGTCACGTAGATTTGAAGATATAGGTGTATGACGTCACAGCTGTTGTCACACTGATCAAGAAAGAGGTCCACTTGTGAAAAATGTGTTGAGAAGGGTGGAAATGCTGATTAGGAGTAGAGGTCCACTTGTAAAAGGCTTAAGAAGGGTGGATGCCAATTTTTGAAAGGAATGTTAAGAAGGACTTTTGTTTTAGCATCACGTAAATACTCATTCCCAAAATAGGGTTGAAACGCAGAGAAAGCTGTACTTGTTAATGAAATATACAAACTTACGCGTGCGTGGTGGTTTTTCATAAGCGATATACTTTTTTTACCTACTAATTTTACCTAAAACAAAGTGTTAATGGCCTTTCTAGCATATGTTCGTAATCAAAACTGTGAATGGAAATCGATAATTAATACACACCTACAAATTCTCCTGGTAACCAAAGACAAGAAGTAAGTGTGCAAGTGTTAAGTGAACTACAGCCCCCACTTGCACACTTACTTCTTGTCTTTGGTTACCAGAAGAATTTGTTCACTTAACACTTGCACACTTACTTCTTGTCTTTGGTTACCAGAAGAATTTGTTCACTTAACACTTGCACACTTACTTCTTGTCTTTGGTTACCAGAAGAATTTGTTCACTTAACACTTGCACACTTACTTCTTGTCTTTGATTACCACAAAGACAAGAAGTAAGTGTGCAAGTATTAAGTGAACTACAGCCCAGGGTTGGAAATAAATACCGTATTTCAATTTGTCCACGAGTTTACAGCATTTAATTTTGTTTCTTGGGCATGTTATGATTAAAATCTATGTACAAACCAGTCTCCGATACTTTGTTTGTTTCGAATATTCGTGTAAAGCTACCCGAGCTAGTTGTTCTTTTTATTAAACTAATAGACCAGACGTAAGGCAGGTAGGCAAAGCCCCTGTCGCCAATTCCTGGACTACTCTAATCAATAGTGGGACTTGGCCGTCACTCTTACAAAAAGAGTCCATGCCCCAAAGTGAGGAGAACGATTTTGCTAGAACGGGACGCGAACCACGTACCCTTACATTCGCAGCCCGGGTTCGCTAAACACCAGTCACGCTCGACCAATCTCCGATATTTCTTGGAATTTTAGTTAGGTGAGTGGACCACGTGGTCCATAGATTCTTTAAAAATGGAGTTTCAAAAGTCTTCATGAGCGTTGAATGATATTCCGTAAGCCAAAAGTCGCTTGTGTCCAGTTTTTTTTTTCAAACAAACAAAAGAAGAACTGGAGTTTTACTTTACTGCAGAATAAGTAGGAAACCAAGATAAATTCTACACAAGCACATAATGAGACCTCTCCTTTATCGTATGACGTTCACCTTTATACAAGTTACATTTGTTTTCTATAGTGTGTATTAAAACATCTTTTTCTACAGGATCATATACATAGTGACACATTGGATCGTAGAAATATACACATTAACATTCTGCATCGTATTAACAAACACATTGTCACGCTGAATCGTAGAAGTAGACACGATGATACATCGAATCGTAGAAATATACACAGTGGCACACTGCATCGTATTAATAGACACGATGCTACATCGAATCGTAGAAATATACATAGTGGCAC